GGGGGTCCCAGTATGACGTGGTAGGATAAGCACTGGACTGCGAACCAGAAGGTCAGCAGTTCAAACTCACCAGCCGCTCCTTGTAAATCCTATACAGGGTTGCTAGGAGTGGGAACTGACTCAACAGCCCTTCACAATAACCACCCCTCCTCCATTCTCCTTGGTGGTTCCGTGGTAGCGTTCCCGCCTTACATGTGAGAGGCCTTCTCCCATTCCCAGCCAATGAGCCTGATGTGCAGCTAACACCGATCTGTTTGTTCGTGGAGGTCTGTGGGTTCCTATGATGCTTGACAAATTTCAACAGTGCTTCCAACCAAGGCACACTAGGAAGAAAGATCTGGCAATCTACTTTCCAAAATCAGTCAGTGAAAACACTGTGGATCACAGTGGCCTAATCTGACATTGATCAAGCTAAAGGGTGGGGTCAAGCAGTGTTTGCATATGTTTTCTGGGCAGACTCAACAGCAGCTAATAACCACCACTCCCTCACCAAGATGCCAGAGATGCCTTGGTTCTTAGCAAGTGAATTGATCTCAGGACTCCATGACAATCACTAATTATCCCTAATCAACTAATTCTCATTGCATGGGGCTGCCTCGTGTCAGAATCAATTCCTCAACAAGTAATAACAGGGGACAAGAAAACCCCAAAACTTCAGGAGTCTTATCAAATCCTGTCTGTACAAGGCAGCTTCAGAGAGTTCATGGGAGAGAGGCAGGGGGCATATTGTCTTTTGCTCTTGGTGACAAATATCTCTCAAAATAACCTGAAAACAAAAATGACAAACTGCTTTTAGATTCTTGCCTGCCTGGTTCCCTTAAATGGACAAGAAGGTAGCACTTGCCTACTTCTAGGATTATCTCCCTGTCCACTACAACACCTTAAACTGCTCATCTGTCTCAAAAGCATAGACTATACACGCTGTTCTTCCTACAGAAAGGCCTGGGGTCCCAGCGCCATGCTTTGGCCATAGACTCCCAGTACCAGAGTGTTCCTCCGCCATGACCAAGGAGATTCCACATGAACCCCCCTGAGGACTGCAGACTCACCACCCCGGGGTCACCTGCTTCACAGGTGATGCTTATGTCCCACTGCCTTTGCACTTTTTATTGTGAAATACGTAAAGGCTTACAGAGCAGATCACCAGTTTTATTTTCAACAGATTATAGACTATTTAAGGAGCTCTGGTAGCGTAGTGGTTACGAATTGGGCTGTGAACTTCAAGGTCAGCAGTTCAACACTACCAGCTATTCCGTGGGAGAAAGATGAGGCTTTCTGCTCCAGTAAAGATGTACAGTCTCGGAAACCCTGTGCAGGGTCGCTATGAGTCAGAACCGACTCCACGACACATAACAACAACATATTTATTCATCTCAATGACTGCAGTTCCTTCAGTGTAACAACAGCTATCTACTCCCTCTCTGTGGTTCCTACTTCCGTTCCACCCTCCTTCCCTTCCCTTCTCAACTTTGGCCTTAGGTAAATGCTGTTCTTTTGATCTTGAATGATTGACATTCTATGGGGGAGCATCCATGCTGTCCACCCCCGCATCCCCATATACCTATCTCCTGCTTGACTGAAAATTGGGCCATGAGGATGAGTTCCCTTCCAGACTTGAAGGATGGCCACGGGCCATAGTCTCCAGTTCCTCCAGTCTCGTCTGACCAGCAAGCCTCATCTTTTTCAGTTTTGAGTTTGGTCCACATTTTATCCCACTTTATACTATCCAGGATCTCTAACGTGCTCTCTTTCTGAGAAGTTGGTAGTGGGAGCAAGGCATCATCTAGTTATGGTCTCAAAGGCATAGAGATTGATGTCCATGTGTTCCATTCGTCCATTGGATTAATTAATTCCAAGCATCTTCAATTTTCATCACTCTTCTTTCTTCCGTACATGGAGAGACCCTAGAAGCTTATTCATGGAATTTTAATATCCCAGTCCACTACTCACCAAAGTAGGATGCAGAACATTGTCTTTGTGGACTATGTGATGCCAATTATCTATGGTGACGCTATGGTCCTGAGCCCCAAGGCCCAGTAGAAACTCCTTACATCAAGGTATTTGGTAATATCTGAGAAGTTTTCATCACGTGCTCCCGTTTGCCCCATCACAAGCTCTGGTAGTGTAGTGGTTACGAATCAGGCTGTGAACCTTAAGGTCAGCAGTTCAAAACAACCAGCCGTTCTGTGGGGGACAGATGAGGCTTTCTGCTCCCGTAAAGATTTACAGCCTCGGAAACCCTGTACAGGGTCGCTATGGATCAGAACCGACTCCATAGCACACCATGCTCCACCACATTCATTAGTGTGTTTGCAGCAACAGCAATTACCCATGTACAAACCTCCTGTCAAATTCTTCTGTATTTCTGGGTACAGTCTCACTCTTCCTCCCAAGCCTGTTCAGGGTGTGTACCTGTCCATGGATCTGCCCAGAGAACACTGTTGTTGTAGGGTTGTGTTGTAACCCTCTTTTACCTCTTTCCCCTTTAATCTATGCATTCCTGTCTTCACCTTTCTTCTGCCAACCTCCCTCTTCTTGTATATTGCTCTCCCCATCACCCGAGTTAACATGGGTCTAGCCTCTGGTCAGTGAATTACTCTCTCTCCCCTCCCACCCCTGGCAGCCATCAAAGAATGTTTTTTTAGCATGAAACCCTTGAGTTTTCACAATAATGGTCTCAAATAGTAATTATCATTTTGTGATTGACTAATTTCACTCAACATAATGTCCTCCGTGTTCATCCATGTTGTTTCACAGATTTGTCGTTAAGTCTTCAGTGTTGTGTAGTATTCCATTGTGTATCTCTATCAATGTTTATCCATTTTTCCATTGAAGGGCATGTAGACTGTCTCCATCTTTTTGTTATTGTGAATATTGCTGTTAGGGACATGATTCACAACCAATTTTTAAAAATCACATTCTTTGGGGTGGAGTAACAGTCCTAATCTATCCACCTCCCACTGACATGGATTCTGACATAATGACCCTATTGGACAGTGGTGGTGATTGTGTGCCATGGATTCTGTTTTGACTCAAACCCTGTATAGTGTTTCTGAGACTGTAAATCTCTACCGGAACAGAAAGCCTCATCTGTCTCCCTGGGAGCTACTGGTGGATTCACACTACTGACCTTGAAATTAACACCCCAGCTAGTAATCCGCTACATTACCAGGGCTCCCAAAGGATGGACAGAGTAGAACTGCCTAATAGTGTCTCAGAGACTATAAATCTTTACGGGAGCAGACTGTCACATATTTTTCTCACAGAGCTGGTGGGTTTGAACCAGCAACCTTGTGGATAGCAGCCAATGGTTAATTCACTGTTCGTTCTACCAGGGATCATTTTAGTCTTGCCCTACTGGTAAAAAAAAGATGGGAAGCATAGAAGACTAACGAATCCATTCATACCCAGGAGAGCAGCCCACCCTCCTGATGTCCTATGTCAAACCCAGCAAAGACCCTGAAGACAGCTTTTATAACCACTGTGGGCTCCAGAAGGTTCCAAGAGGCTGGTTGAAGTTTGGAAGTCTGCCTGCTCTGCTCTCCATTCCCGGCACTGATCAGTGTGGAAAGGAGGTAACACGAGACCTGAAGACTCGCTGAGTTCCATTTGTTACAGAACAATCAAATCTCCACTTCCCTCTTTCAATTATTGGTGGTGGTGGTGGTGAAGTGCTATCAAGTCGGTTCCGACTCACAGTGACCCTGTCTAGGGTTTCCAAGGAGCAGCTGGTGGGTTTGAACTGCTGACCTTGTGATTCACAGGTCAGTGCTGATTCTGCAGTGCCACCCCCCACCCCCACCCCAGGAGGCCACGGCATGGCTATAAGCAATCACTTTAAATTGTCCCAAGTTTTCTTTGTGAAATTTTAAAGCCAATTCTACTCTTGGTACAATACTGAGGAAACTAGTCTCGGTTTCAAGTCTCCCAGCTTCTCAACTTCCTCTCCTAACTATTTCTCTTCAGTCAACCCCCCAAGCACCTTCCTGCTTAAAAAGCACTTGTTTGCTTTGTCTCACTTGCTCCCTAGTGAGCTTGGACCCAGAAAGGTTAAATGACCCCCTTTGAGATTCTAGTAAGCAAGCAAGCAAGCTAGGGCTTGGACCAGTCTCTGCCGCTTCTCCATCAAATTCATCAGCCCCGGTACTACGAATTTTCCCAGGCTTGCCTTCCACACAATCACACAGAACAGCAGTGGGCCCAGACCTCAGAGCACAGGAAACCAGTTGGTAAGACACAAGAATTAAAAAAATAAGCTGCATGACATTTATTTCATCTTGTTAACATTAATATTGGTAGAAACATTTTATTGTCAGTATAAAAATTAACAGGTTTTTATTAAATACTTTCTCCAATTTCTGAACATGTAAAATCAGTGTAATTTGCATTCGTGTTGCATGGCTAGAGCAAGGTGAGTGTTTGGGAAGCAAAACACAATACTTGGACACAGAACGAACAATATGGTGGTGTTTTGTCTGAATGTCATCGGTAAACAGGCTGGATCTTTTCACGAGGTCCTGCCAGAATACGACAAAAGCGATCCCTTAAAAAGATGAAAGCCCCCGCCTCCCCAAAAGCCATCAGCAGAATAATCCTGGATTTGAATTTCCAGTTGTGGAACTTGAAGATTCTCAAAGGCTTCTCAAAGTACCAAGGCTTTGGAAGCTGTTTCCACTGGAGGGAATATGGGTTAATCTGATTTATATCCAACATGGGGGCAGAAGGTCAGCTGCCAGCAAATCAGTACATTCTGTTATATCATCTCAACTAACTTTCTTCCTCGAGGAATGGATTAAGGCATCTGATTCTTAAGAGGACGCTGGTACCATCTGTCCCGGGAAAGATGATGGAAGGTTGCATGGGTCCCATGACAGACCCACCCACATGGAAACGAAACACCTTCTCATCAAAAGGTTCTTTTAGGAAGGGCAGTTGGCTGGCATATGAACAATTATCGGACACACAATATGAACTCAAAGAACTCCAAACTGCATTTCCCCCCCCACATGAGCCAGATATTGTTACTCTCTGGTAACTAGTTACGTCTGAGCAATAGATTAACTAGTCTTTTGTGCTGCCTGCATAGGAATGCCACTTAAATTACAAAACTATAAATGATTAATTATTTTGTATATTACCAATTCATTAATAAATTAATGTTATACCATTTTCCCTGAAAGCAAAAGTATTTTTTTTTCCACCTCTGCTCGGTGAAAATTAAGAAACTCTGTTGTAAGAACAGCATTTAGCAAATAGCTATTTCCTTTAAAAAAAAAAAAAAAAAAAAAAGACCAATTTTCTAGGTACATCAGGACATCCATTTAAAATCAATACAAAAAATAATTCATTGTAAATATATAATATATATTTATACATAATTTGAATATATTTACATACATCCAGCACCTATATACGGCATTTGTGCTCTGTACTTGTGGGCTGACATATATTTTCTCCAATTCTTACAAAATTAACAAGGAAGGCAGAACATGCGTCCACCTTGAGTCCGACTGGTCCACAGCCAGTGACCCTCCATCACCTTGGTGGTGGTGAGCTGGAGGGGTCACGTGGCGGGCCCGTGGCCGTCCATGGTTCCATAAACATTCTTCTCTTCCTGGTGAAGGTTACAAGTTCTCAACTGTATAACTCTTTACAAGTGTGCCGATTGCTTTTCCAATTATTTACTCCTCTGATCCATATATACACGTGGAAGCAACAGCCTCCCTGCTCAGTGTAGGTCAGTCCTGTTTGGGGACAAGAGGGCCCCCACATTCATGTTTGAACAGTGCCGTTTATGTGTGGATACTGAGGAAGGCATGGTTCATAAGGCATGGGGTCCGGGGAGAATACAGAGTCATCTCCTGAAGAACAAGAGCTCCTTGTGTCAGGGTAACTAGGTGAATACGGTTCGAGAGGCTGCGAGAGATCCAAGTAGTCCTGAAAGAAGGGGAGAGAGATGTTTTATTTCATCTCGGGTCAGGATAACTAGGTGAATACGGTTCGAGAGGCTGCGAGAGATCCAAGTAGTCCTGAAAGAAGGGGAGAGAGATGTTTTATTTCAAACACAGGCTCTTGAGAGACAGATCTCAGAGTTGGGACAGGACAGGGATCTCCTGGAAGCTTCAGAGAGACCCGCCCATACCTCCTCTTCACAGAGAACCCTCTAAGGCTGCCTCATGTTGGTCTTTCACAAACCATTATAAATAACCACCGATAACAGACAGCAAAAATCCTTGTTGGGTGGTGACTGTCGGGCAGTCAAACTCAACACAAACCAGGTTCCTTTCTAGCTGCCTCCAACACTGAGATCCCATGAGTACCAGAGCAGAACTGGTCTTCAGAGGATCTTGAATGGCTGACTTTTTAGAAAAAGATCACCAGGGCTTTCTTTCAAGGCGCCTCTGAATGGACTTGAACTGCCTATCTTTTGGTCAGCAGTTAAACACATTAACTATTTGTAACACCCAGCAACCCCCCAACTCAATTTACTCAGACCTACACTGGCTTGCCTGCTATCTTCACCTGTCCCTGAATTTGTACAGGGTTCAAATTTAAACCCCAGAAAAATTTAGGACCATAACATGTCACCGATGCTCAGGGCTCTTGCTGAAGTATATTTAACTATTACACTTTCTAGGGTAATACAAGGGAAACCTTTTCTCATCCAGAAGTTAATTTCACAGATGTAATTCATTACTCTAAGAAAGCTCTCCAATTTGGAACTGTAAACAAGTTCAAAAAGGACTGGGAAAAACTGCTGTGTGTAGAATCCATAATGGGCCATTAAAGAAAAGTTTAGGACAATGGAGGTTAAGTTTCAAAGTTATGAAAGTTTGACCTTCAGAAAGTGCTATCTGTTCTCCAAAACATCCCTGGGTACTGCTGTGGGGGGCGAGCCCACTCACTGACTCAGGACCAGGCTAGAGCCAATGGAGTGATTTTTAAAAGAAGGAGTGGCAAACCGTGGTCCACATACCACACATCCATCAAATATGACCCACTGCTAATACCACCCATGAGCCAAGAATGGTTTTTACGTTTTTATATAGCTGGAAAGCATCAAAATAAGAAAACCATCTCAGGATACAAAAATGATATCAAATTCTTACACGATTATATCAAATTCAAAGTTCGGGGGGCATCAATGGAGTGTTACTGGAACACGCCCTTATTCGTTTACTGTCTAGGGCTGCTTTGGCCCTACACTGACAAAGTGGAATTGGTACGACAAAGATTCAGCACAGAAAAAGGGTAGGAAAAGGTTTCTAAGCTGGGGGACTTCTGAGTCTCACCGGCCCCTAACTGAGGCAGCATGTTAGGGTGGCTCTCCTCAGAAACACGCAGAACCCAAAGCTTATCCTATGGCATGTGGGAAGGCCAAAAGAGTACAGACCACAGCACAGTGTGTCTCAGTGCTATCAGAAAAGAACCCACGGAATGCTGGCGACTATACATTTAAAAAAAGAAAAAAGAAACCCCACTGTAATTCATCGCCAGGGTTGGCAAGAGACAAAGCCCCAATCTGAGGTGGGGGAAGTGTCAGTTTCAACAACATCAGCACTAACCACACAACTGGAACAAACACACCCACCACATCAAAAGACAGCTTTTTTGCTTACAATGATAAAAACGAAATTTTGTCCTAAAAGGAACCATATCCCTCCAGCATGTGGTAATGATTTTCAGAAGGAAAGAAACTTCGATTTTTAATCCGCTAGACAATACGGCATTCTGCAGTCTGTCTTTTAGGATGTAAATTTCAGTAGGCATGGACCCACTTTACACATTAAGTATAGAAGTAAACAGCCCTGAACTTGGACACAGGACCATTAAAGCGGAACTTGAGTGCTTTCTCCCAGTTCCCAAATGAAATCATAAACTTGCAGATCTGATAGGAAAAAAAAATTGGGATATCAGTGGATTCCAAGTCTAAGGATAACGGAACTTATTCTAGAAACAACAATTTTGGCAGGAGAAGAAAGGTTTTTTTTTGTTGTTTTTGTTTTGTTTTCTTCTCTTCCTTTTCCCCTTTCTTGAACTCTTCCTTTCCTTTCAACTTCGGAAGGTCAGCTGTGTTCATTTAAATGCAATCTTTCCCTGAATGCACTGCTCTCCTGAGCTCCACTCACTAGATACAGTTGCTGGGCTGGGTTTTCCTGTCACCAACATTCAATTCCCTATGGTTTAAAAATCACTCTAAATTTACCAAGGGGCTTCAAAACGTTTGTGGAAAAAAATGAAATGGAAAGATAATGGAATTCCCTCACAAATGTTTTGAGGACCCCCTCGTATTTTCTAAATTAAATGTATTATTTCCCATCTAGAGTCTTTGGGATCATCTTTTAACTGCTGTCTCTGTTGTCTTTAAGACGGTTTTGTTTTGTCCTTGTGTGTGTGTGTGTGTGTGTATTTTTTCCTCGTGTTTGAAGAAGTACAGTTTGTCTTCATTACATAGCTCAAGGTCATTCACTAATCATCTCTCTCCCTTGAGGTTTCACTCGATCTGATTGATTTCTCATCTTTTTGAGCGAAATTTTTCTGTTCTTCAGAGAACCACCCCCAACTATTCAACTATTGTTGTTGTTAATACCGTCAAGTCGGTTCCGACTCATAGTGACCCCGCACAGGGTTTCTGAGGCTGCAAATCTTTACGGGAGTAGAAAGCCTCATCTTTCTCCCACGGAGCAGCTGGTAGTTTCGAACTGCTGACCTTGAGGTTAGCAGCCCAATTCATAACCACTACACTACCAGAGCTCCTTTAGTGTACATCACCTCATGGCGACCCCGTGTGAGCCAGAGAAGTCTTGTGCTCCACAGCATTTTAAATGGCTGATTTTTGTGAAGTAGCCAAGCCTTTCTTCTGAGGTACACCTCTGCATGGATGGCCCTAAAGCTCCAACCTTTTAGTTAGCAGCTGATCACATTCACCGTTTGTAGCATCTGGAGGTCCCGTTTCAGTGCCCTCTTTCCATAGCCACAAAGGCATGATGGAGCAGCCACTAAATAAATGGGTGAATTCTGGCGTGAGTAAGGAAAAGTTTCTTTAGTTGGTAAAGATTCCAACTGCCTTATTGTAAAACACAAGGTGTACGTCCTCACTTGTTCTAGGAAACTGTATGTACAATATGTGCACGTGGTAAGAGATCGTGAGTCACCCCCCATTACTACCTGGGATGGGGGGGTTGGTGTCTCCTAATATGGAAGCTGAGCTAGAGGCTCTAGGGCACAGGCTGAAACTCGCCATAAACCCTGCTCCTCCCCACGCAAACCAAAATACTGCATTTGGACATTTCTTTCCCCTTCTCCTACACACACCACACCATTCCACCCACCAGCCTCACACCACAGTGTGAGTGTAACCTCAGGCATGTCCTTCTGTCTGGTTTTCTGAGTCACAAAACACAGTTCTGAGGAAACCAGGCTTTGAGGGAATACATAGTTTAACTCTGTGTGACCCCGGTGGAAAATGATAAACTTCATCACAGACCCCAGTACAGTGGGGGAGGTTGCATTTCAACATAGGGCCAGCGGGCTCCAGAATGAGGTTGGTTCTTACCTCGTTGGTTGTGAGAGTGAGAATTCGATCCAAGTCCTCGACCAACTGCTTGAATGTTGGTCTCTGAGAGGGAACGGCGTGCCAACAGTCCCGCATCATCATGTACCTGGAAAACACAGGTTTCCTTGAGGACAGAACGCCACATGGACTGGGTTCCAACCTGTAGTGTCCCTGTATAGGGTTTCTGAGGAGCAGCTAGTGAGCCTGAGCCACTATGTTGTTGTTGTTGTTGTTATTAAGTGCCGTCAAGTCGGTTCTGACCCATAGGGACCCTGTATAGGGTTTCCAAGAAGTAGTTGGTGAGCTTGAACTGCCGACTTTGCAGTTCAAACGGCTTTGCAGTCCGGCACATTAACCCACAGCGCCACACTAGGACTCTAAAGCCAGGCTTAATAGGTAACGTGGAGAAGTGCCCTAAATTATAAATATGTAGCAGAGCTTTTTCCAAGTTAGGAGGTGGTATTCACATTCCCTAGTGACTCATTACTGCCAGGTTCCTCTGAAAGATGCTTGAATTTACAAAAACAGGGCTTTGCACAAAGCATATGAGTGGTGAACCTAAGCTATGCTTAGTCCCGATGTCTCGGTTACAGGCTGACCTAGCACACGGGATGATAAGCCCACACCATCACTTTTAACCCTCTCTTAACACAGGCAACTCAGAGGGTCATGGGAAGAGTCAGATTTGAGCAGGCTGGCCTCAAGCTCACCCCCGCCACCCTGTGTAAACTGAAGCAGCTTTATCTTATCTGGCCGACACCTTGATTTTCGTTTTGAAGAAAGATTTGAATCGACAAAGATTCCTCAATTTTAAAACAAACAAGTAAAGCTTGGAAACCACAACATTATGGTCTAGTTCTGATGAATTAACTCACGCCCCCAGTCTGCATATGAGCCTCCTGGTTAACCCTTTGATGGGCCCACGTTCCCTGGCCTCCTTATCTTGAGGATGGGTTTCAACAGCTCCTCTATGCTAGCGAGAGCACGGGACATGTCAAGAAGCACAATGGATGGCTTTATGTGACATACTATAAAACATGGCCATTCATGCGTCGTCTACTGGGCATTGCAAAGCACTCATGGGATTACACACCTAAAATCCCCATGAAGTGACACATGAGAGGCAGCCTCAGGGACAATCACTCTTCTTAGTTAATCCTGGCGGAGGGGGAGGGCAGGGAGACTCCTTTCCAAAACACTGATTTTACTGCACAAGACACACGTCACACACACAACCTAATTTTGCACACTTTTCTAGAAAAGAGTTCATGGTTTTACAGCGAGGTCTGGTGCTCTAAGGATGGCAACTGAATTGTTTGTTAAGAGGTGGCTAAAATATAAATGTGCAGATGCTGAGGGTAGCTGGTAGATAACAAGCTAGACTAGAAATAGTCAGTGGTCAAAAGGAGACTCCAGAAACATCCACTGTCCACTCACCACGCCAAGGCCGCACACAGCGCCAAGGACAGGGCTCATTGGTCTTTAATCCTATGTACTCAGGCAGCACAATGGCCCATGAGTGAGGGGCAGCCACATAGATCTCCCTGTCATTCTGAGGGGAGACAGCTGCACAGGGAGACACCCCGGCTTGGCCTGGAATCCCCCTGTGTGATTTAAAGTCTGCTTCATACACCTCAGAATCATGTTCTTTCTTTTGGACAATTAATGGCTGTCCATGTGGCCATCTATCTCAGTCCTGGGAACAAGCCTAGGAAGCCTTAGGATCCTTCTGAGAGTGTGTTTAGATAGCGGGGGCCTCTGCGCGCCAAGAGGGCAGATGCGGCATCCGCAGGGAGACAGGGGTCCTTACAGCTCATTGGTGCAGTTCGTCGGTTTATCCATCCTGTGTCCTTCCTTAAGGAGCTTAAAAAGTTCTTCCACGGGAATCCCCGGGTAGGGCGAACCCCCTAGAGTGAAGATCTCCCACATCAACACCCCAAAGGACCAGCTGCAAAGAGGAGAGAAGAGAGTGTTACTGATGGGCCCAGGCACAGTTAAGAAAACAAACTCCCACTCACTTCTTACGCTCAGAGACAGATGACACATGTTTGCTGTCATCCATTCTGCATGCCTTCCTCAGCCCCCCTGAATAACGAGGACATAGAGATGTGCTGATGGAATGTTCCACCGGTATTCTATAAAGGCAGACCCCAGTGTCACCTTCCACAAAGGTATTCTTCTCGAACATGGTGTTTCCAACAAGCTTCAAAAAGCCCGACACACTTGCTCCCATCCCATTCTCCTTCCATCTCCCTGTGTGTTGGACTCAAGGAAGCTATTCATCGGGGCAGCAGAGGGAACTGAGGTCAGCAAGCTCATTCCCCACCGGGCTTGGTGAGGGGAGCCTGCAGGCAGGCATCGGGACTGACTGAGGTCACTGTGGGGGTTAACACAGAGCTGGGATGAAGATGGAAGCATCAGTGGCCCCAGATAGACAAATTACACACACCCGAAACTAACACTGTATACTGGTCCACCGTGGAACGTTCTGAGCCTAGTTCAGGAGATGCCCTCCGCAGAGAATCCGGCTCTGAGCACGCCAGGGCTGCATTCTGAAAGGTTGGTGGTTCAAACCCACCCAGGACCTCTGTAGTAGTGAGACCTGGCAATCTGGTCCCATGAAGCTTAGGGGAAGTCTAGGAAAGCCTACGGGATAGTTGTACTCTGTTACACGGGGCTGCTGTAAGTCAGAATTCAGTTTAACAGCATTCAGCAACATTCTGGGCAACAGAATGAAACAGTCGCCCGTTTTCAATAGAAAAAGAGACAGTATTCAGAAACCACCCTTGTGCCTCACTCTACTCATGGCAAACATGGGAATCACAAATGCCTTCCTCCTGAGGGCTGCTGGTAGTCCACTGTAATCTGTGCCTCTTGAATACAATAGGGCTCGACTAACTTGTTCCTAAAACTTTTCTCTAAAATGTCCTCTTCTGGAATAATGAGACTTATAAGAAATTGCAAACACAGCACAGAGTGGTACTAAGTATTTTACACCCAGCTGTCCCCAGTGATAGTATCTTCCAAATCCACACTTGTACTATGTCAGCAGACCATAATGGAAACAGTGCATCACTTCTGCTGTGTTTCTCTAACATTATCAAGGATGCAGAGACAAAACCAGAAGGTTTCACACAGGGAGTGGGCCCTGTGGGAACCACCTAGACTGAAGGCTTCTCAACACATCTCTGACCTTTAAACACAAACCTTAGTTAAAGGGGAAATAAAAGCAAACTGCTATCGAGTAGGAAAGATTTCAGGATTGTATCTTGAAGGGAATGAAGACCAGGACAACGGCTTGGCAAATTAGATAGTGGCTTTGTAGCTGCACATTCGTAACTGAGTTTGGGGGGAGGGGAGGCACTTCCGCTTGGGCAGAAGGGAGTTAGCGGTCCCACCTCCCCTGGGCTTTGAAGCCAGGCAGATTAGTAACAGAGCATTGGTTGCCAGCCTACCATAAAATCCGTCCTTTCTAAGGTCAATTCCTGCTCCTACTATCATTGTGTGAGAGACGCAACAGGTACCAAAGGCTGAGGAAAGGCTAAGAACATACAAGACTTTTTGCAGCTCTGCTGGATGAGGAACCAGAGAAAAGGGGTCACTTACACATCACTGTGGTGGGTGTAGACTCGATCAAAGAGGGCTTCGGGGGCCATCCACTTGACAGGAAGTCGCCCCTGCAAACATGGAAGAACATGCAAAAATCAATAGACTTCAGATGAGTTTACTTAGGTTGTGACCTGGTCCCTTTAAGAACTGGCAATAGAATGATTTTCAGCGGTCCTTCAATAAAGCAAAACTGTTGTTGTTGTTGTTGAGTGCTGTCGAGTCGGTTCTGACTCCTAGCGAGCCTGGATAGCATTTCCAAGGAGCAGCCGGTGCATTTGAACGCCAACCTTGTGGTTTGCAGTCCAGTGTTAATCCTACCAGGAGTCTTAACTCCCCTGTTCAAACCACCAACCGTTCCGTTAGCAGCCATGTGGCCTTAGCCACTGGGCCACCAGGGCCCCTTCCACAGCAGGGCTGTCACTGTAAAATGGCTTTTATTGGCCCTTCAACAGAGCAGAGCTAAGCTCCCAAGGACCACAGGGAAGGAGTGAGGTGCAGGCTCCAACACACTCATTGTACACTGTTACCCTGATGTTCCCCACAGCCATCTGTGCAGACAGACACTCCCTGTTCAGCTTCTCAGGAAAAGGAACCAAGCAACTTCCAGGCTCTCAGTCTTTGTATACAAGTCCTTATCGAAGAGTTGGTTACAAAGCAGAGGCTGCCGTTGATGATTTATGCATGAAGGCTTTACCGGTACCACCCTAAATGGAGGCTCCAACATGCCTGTCAGACTGTTGTACTGTGGTGGCTTGCAAGTTGCTGTGATATTTTAAATCCATGGTGGGCAGATTTCAGTGGAACTTCCAGATTCAGAGAGACTAGGGAAAGAGGGCTAGAGATCTTCTTTCCAAAAATCAGCCAATGCAAGAATATCATCTGACATAGTGCTGGAAGGTGAGGTCCTGGGTTGGAATGTTATTCTTGTTAGGTGCCATGGCACCGGTTCTGACTCATAGCAACCCTACGCACAGCAGAACGGACCACTGCCCAGTGTGCCATGCTCACAATCATTACAGTTGGGTCCAGTGTTGGAAGACTCTATACAACAGCCACAACAGTGAAACTCCAACACAACAACAATTATGAAAATCACAGGACTGAGCAACATTTCCTTCTCTTACACATGAGGTCACTGAGTCGGAACCAACTCGGCAGCAAATAATGACAAAGTGTAGCCTAAATATGCTTATTGAGAAGTAGACGAAGAGTAAATAAAGTAGTGGACAGAGGAATTGGTCCAGGTCTGGACCTGCCAGCTCTGAAGATCTAGAACAATCTGCCCCTCCTCCCCACCCCTACACATTTTCAACAAATACTTACATTTGTGGTCTTTTTGTAATAGTCTATATTGTTGATATCTCTGGCCAGTCCAAAATCAGCTATTTTCATCACGTTGTTTTCAGTTACCAAAACATTTCTGGCCGCTAAGTCTCGATGTATGCACTGAAATCAAGAAAGATGGAAAAGAAAGAACGCATTTCAAATGGCTCCATAGGAAACATCCTCGTATCTTACAATGCAGACAGAAAATGCATCTTATGTCAAAAACGGGTGCTTACTTTCTAAAAAATAAAAAGTGGAGGTCCCCATCATTACAAAGAACAAAACTGGTGAATGAACTTGAACTGCCAACCTTGTGGCTCACACTGACCTTGCAGTCCAGTCCTTATCCTACAGCATCACACGAGGACTCCTTCAATCACCCTACAATCTTTTCTCTCAGCCCTCGCTCTCCTCCCCTCTACGGGCAAACTTTCCAATAGTTTGTTCATTTTTGCTTCTTCATCTCCCAGTCACCCCTTAAATATTCGAATTCTAAATTTCCCACTCCTGCCTCCCTAGAAGTCTATGAAACCAGTTAGCCATCGCCAAGTCAGTTCCTACTCATTACGTCCCCATGTCCGTCAGAGTAGAAGCTGTGCTCATAGGGTTTCCAAGGACGGATTTTTCAGGAGATCACCTGACCATTTTTCTGAGGTGCTTCTGGGTGGCTCATTCTCCATTTGCACTATCCAGGGAGGCTGATGTTTAAGAAGAACCTCTTAACTGTCAGTTCCCTGGGGTGTGTCTTGTACATTCTCATTTATTTCTCTCTGCGGCTTCGGGGACACTGGTGGCTTCTTGCTCATTTTAGAAAACCATCTTTGTATTGAATTCTACTTCGTCCCCTTCTCTGGGCTCATTCTCTTCTTCATTCCCTCAGAATCTCTTGCCTCTGTCCCTTCACACAGAGACAGAGGACTCCCTTGCTGTTATGATAACCAGATTTCATCATGAAATATGTTATGTTAATTTGGGTCCAAAATCATCACCCCCTATTTTGGGAAGAAGTTAAGAAATCAAGAAGCAAACAGACATTCCCATCAAACACTTGTCCTCAGATTACTGGCAAAGGTTAACTCTTAGGGAAGAGTGTGTCCTAACCATCCACTCAGGGTGCTTGAAAAGGGGCCAATCTGAGACGGACACTCTGCAGAACAGTCAATTAGAGAAAACAGAGCCAAACTATCGTCACAATAGCAAAGAGAATTCTCTGTATTCCAGTCTCCCTTCTCTCGAAGATTCCTCATTTCCTCTGGACGTCCTGGCTAAGGAAGAAACGGGAAAGAATAAAGCCATGCACATGAGTGTCTTGGGCCAGACTGTTAGCGCGAAATGCTCTGACGTCGGATCTGGAGCTCTGCTCTGGCTTTCAGAGGCCTCTTCAAATTGAACTTCTAAGCCCGGGGCCAAGTGCTCCTGGTGATGTGTTCCCTGCAGGCTGAGCTCTGTGTGTCTGGCAAGCTGTGTGGTCAGAAGCTCCGACCACACATCAGGGCTCAGCAGACAGGCGCCACCAACGTCACCTCCACTATCATCTCAAGGGAGCCAGTGTTCTGCACGGCCACCCTCCACCCAGAGAGCTAGGAAACACCAAAGCCCACCTCCCGGGCGGAATGAGAAGAAATTGGAACCAATGTCCAGAGAAAAGAGCAATGAAAACCAAGCCACATTCCCATCACCCACTAATCCGAGTGATTTTCCAGCAAGGAGAAGCGACCAGTTTACACAGTGAGGGCCCGGACTGCATGTGATTCTGTTGTTTTCACAAAGGGAAGGCTGTTGAGTCCCTAAGGACAAACAGCCCTGTAACCCAGACAGACATCATTCTGGGAGCCTTCACATGGCTGACAACACTGGATCCTCAGGACAACCTGAAAAGTTAGCAATGTTGTTGTTGTTGTTGTTGTTAAGTGCTGTCAAGTCGGTTCCGACTCATAGCGACCCTGTACACGGTTTCCGAGGGTGTAAATCTTTACGGGAGTAGAAAGCCTCATCTTTCTCCCGCGGAGCGGCTGGTAGTTTCGAACCGCTGACCTTAAGGTTCGCAGCCCGATTCATAACCACTACGCTACCATAGTATGCCCATTTTACAGATGGGAAAGATAAGGCTCACTTAAAAAATGAAAGGCCCTGCTCAAGTCTAACACCTAGAAGGCTCAACATTTGGGATTTGGTTAAAAAAAGAAACAGTATAGTTCTGAGTTAAGAACGCAAAGCTTTTACAAGTACATGGCAGGATCACATGTAGCATGGCCAATTGTGCTTCTTCATAATTCATGAACCAGTTCTACCTCCTGCTAACTTTGCCTTTTCACCCCAGAAGGACTGAGTCAGAGTCTACTTTGTCACAAGATCCCCGGGTGTACACATACAAGTATTCACATCACCTGGGGCTCTCCGTCCTATGTAGGTCTATCTGGGATGGAAAGGCACTGTTCTCAGCCAAGGGGTCAAACTGGAATGAACCGGCTTGAAGTCCTGCCTGTCTGTCTCCCCTACATACCTGAGAGCAGCTCACAGACATGTTCTGCATGTTCCTCTCTATGTTCCCAGCACTTGGCCCCGAGCCTGCCTCTTACATGTTTACTGAGCTGAATTCACGAATACACTACACGAGTAATTAGCCAGAGACCCACTACTCAAGAGCCCTTTGTCCTTTCCTTCCGAGAGGTCAGTGTTCAACAAGGTCACTGCTAACCCACTGTCAGTGGGGACAGACCCATACTAAAGGGATCTCCCCCACCTTAGCCCTGCATCTTCACATCATTGCACTTTTCAGGAGCAAAGTTTGTGGTATTTGAAACAGGCTCCTTCCAAGGGGAGATTTCAAAAGACCTGCATCTACCACTGGCTGAGCGCTGTCCAGTCCTTATTGCTAGCTGACCTTCTGCAAAGACTTTGAGGACACTGCTGGGTCCCTCCCACCACTCAGGGCTCTGAAGGATTGATTGAGGATAGGGTTACACAGCTCACTGTGGTGGAGAGCAGTGAGTTGGACTGTAAAAAGTTCAACTGATTAAAGTTGTGTGGTAGCTATGTTTATAAAAATGACCCCCTCCCTGCCCCTCCCTTGCTGTTATGATAACCAGATTTCATCATGA